TGACGAAAAACGGTCAATCTGAAGATTTTAACTCAGATCGACCGTTTTCGTCAGTGTCTTTTCACGCCACTCAACTCGTCATCACCGACAGCTTTGGCACCATATGACACCAGTCACCTATCGCATTTTCGAACATTAATGCCTTATCGTCTGTTGGAAATCCATCTTTGGAGAACTAATCCTATGTATTCTTTTTACTTCTATTAATTACAAAAGAGCTCTAACCCATCGACTTCCTCTCACCAGTAAAACGGTATAAAAACGATCAGCGCAGCGTGAAACGAGGGAAGCAAAAAGACTACACAGGAAATGTGCTTAAGAGAAATTCAAGTAGGAGGCAATGAGGGTGCCGAGAGCGTCATGTGGTACCCGTGTCGGTTGTTGGCTGAATGGAAGAGATTCAGAATCATGCTGAAACTGAATAAAAAGAACATTTAATATGCCTGTTGTGTAATCTATATCAGAGTCGAGGAGGTTTTTGACAATGAATTAAAAAGCAGCTAGGGTTTAGGAAAAGGTTTGTCAGTATTGACCACACTTTAGTTACTAAACGGTATAGAGCCGGTCTCAAAATGGCATTTGATTCAATGAAACAAAGCACTACACTGCAAGCTCATCAGATTAAGACTTGGCCTCACATCAGACAGGTAGAAGAGACTGTACTGGTGATTCCCATTCCAGCCTACGCGCATGGCTCGTTCTGTGTTTACAGCAAAGGGATGAAACACAAATTGCATTCGAACATATCTTTCCGCACATAAACCTTAATTCAATGCCTAAACTCCTTTTCTTTTTATTCAGCTATCTTATCTGGTTCTTAAGCTAGGGAATTTCCCATTTGAAGCCTCACGCGTCCACATATGAGATGCGAGGTTCGCAGGAGCTAAATTTGAATTTTAACTCTTTCTGTCAAGTATCTAGTGAACCGAATGGCAATAGCGTTCCAAATTTCGTCTCCGGACCTAATAAGTTCGATGTCATTACCGTCGTTTTCGAATCCTCCTCATTTGAAACTGTCAGCATTTGACTTCACTTGTAAGTACAGAAGGGATTTGCCGCATGGTGGTGCGAATTACTGGTGCTGGAATGTTGGCACGTGATGTGAACTTGTCCGTGTTGAATTTTCTACATATGTTCTCCCCGTCTGTTCAGCTGCGTAATCCGAAATCCATTTTCATTTTTAAGCGCCACTACTACGGTGTGATGTAAAAGAAAATATATATATATACATATATTTTCTTATATATATATCTCTGATATATATATATATATATATATATATATATCATCCTATGATATGCCTAAGTGTAATATAAGAACCATATGATCCAAAGTGTTTATTTTCATATGTGTATGTATGTGTGTTTTTGTATGTGTGTGTGTGTGTGTTTGTGGGTATGTGCGTGTATGTATGTGTGTATGTGTGTTCTGACAGGGGAGGAGTTGAGGGTGGCGTTCGTAAAGTAGGAACGAAAGTGTTGCCAGCTGACTACGAGTGGCTGGCTGGGCTGTTCCAAGTGTGACTTCCCTGAAGAAGGGTCTGGGGCCGGCCTCTTGCATCTTGGATTTGCCGGCAGCACCAGATCCAGTAGGATTATGGTGGCGAGTGGCTACCGGATTGGGATGCATCTGGTGACCTCGGCACTGAGGCTTCTGGAACCCCGGGTGGATGATGATTTTGTGGATCGTTTGCACTATCTGTACACCTCAACAATGATGTTCCTCTTCTCCATTATCGTTTCCGCCAAGCAATATGGTAATGCATTTTGAATTTTTTCGATTCCATTAGTTTACAGTAGAGAGATGTGTGTCAGGATTGCTGGTTTACGAGATGTTCATGTTATTACAACGGTTGTAGTGGTGCCCGATCCGGCCACATCCGCTCATCCATCAATCAGCTGGAGTAGCGTGCGTGGCACACCTGCCGCAATCCGTCCCTTGCGTAACATTCATTACTTCAAGCAGTACATGATGAATTACGAACAATCACAGGAAGCTAACAGATCGAAATGTGAAAAAGACTTCTCCATAAAAAAGAGGATGTATATAAATAAATGGGGTCTAAATTTGGCTAACCCAGCTCAATCAAAATTAGCCAGCATTTCATGCCTTTGCTTTTCTTCGTTGATTTTTTAACCTTTGCTTTTCTTCGTTGGTCTTTTGATTTTTTAATTTTGCAGCTCGTTTTTATTTTTAACAGAGTGCAAAGATTTCGATGAAATTTGACTCATTTTGGCCAAATACTACCTTTTCTAGTGATCAATTGAATCTATGAACTTAGTGGCGATTATGAAAAGATTAGATTGAACTGTAAAGTAGCAACTGTGCTGAAATCGAACCCACTAAGAATCAGTGAGTATTTTTTGGCGAACACAGGAAAGTACTGCCGTGCGACTGTGTCCATTTATATTTGTCTGTCTTAATTAAGCTCCAAAACTGCTGAAGCTGGAATTGCAAGCGCATAGTCCCTGGCGTTTCGCATTGTTAGCGAAAAAGAAGGTGAATTGGAGATTTTGGCAGATTAGTTCATCAAATGATGGAGAGCAAATGGCTACAAATTAGACCTCAAAGTTCTGTGGTCACCTCTGACATCAAGTCATTTAGGTTGATTTTCAAAACTAACAAAAACCAAAACTTTGAAGTCTTGGGATCTTTTTTATTTGCCTTGTAAAGTGAACTGGAGTAAATCAAAATCAGCCTTCAAATTTCATATTTTCGGATTTGCGATCGCACTTAAAGTGCAGACTGATTTTGTGGCTCCAGAACAGAGCAACCGACAAACCCAAAATTGTGTTGCTTTTCATCTGCTGGACAACTGAAGGCAAATCACATGGCAAATTCATGTTTATATTGATGGATCCACGAACTGGACACTTGCAATCGCTTATCACAAAAATGCACAGTTGCGGTATCTTCCTCAAGCACTCTGCGATATTGGCCTTTTACCTTACATAGGAGAGGCAGAAGGAGAACACAGCATCAGTGAGAGTACATAAATTTTAATTTCTAAACGAAGCACTCATTGACATGGCAGCATTGATGAGATGCGTTTTATATTAGTTCTAAGTATTGGTCAGTATGGTGAGCTCGAATTGGCATCTCTGGCTGATTGATGGACGGATTTGACTGCTCCGGAAGATGCATCTTCTTCACCAGCTGCTATTTTTGTTTTTGTAAAAGTAAGCTGTTACAAACTCATTATTCCAGTATTTCCATCCTAATATCTGCGTGGAAAATTAGGCATCTCTCCCCTGGTGTGATCAGATGGTTGGAGATTTCAAATAAAGCTATGTATTTGAAAGAACTTATTTAGCGCCTGAACAAAAATAAACAGCTTAGCACAGTTTGTCACCTGATGGCTAATCACACTGACTAAATCTTGACGAAAAATTGTCAAGTGGTACTGAAAAGTGATTAAGAGAAAACTAAGGGATAATAAACTGAGCCAGTAGATCTGAGATTACCAAACTGATTGGTAACCTTGTGAATTCTGCTAAATTTAACAGAGGAGAGCGAGGAAGGGAAGGAAAAGATCCTTCAGTAAGGCACAGGTTCTTCTGCCCAAGAACGCTTCAAAAATGAGAAGTGGAAGGCCAGACTGCGTCATGAAGCATTTTAATCTCATTAACCTCATTTTAACCTCATTTCATCTTTCTTCCTCATCGGACCTCATTTTAACCTCATTTAGACTACTACTGCAAATCATTTCTTTCATTTTGTGTTTCAATCAAATTATGTGCAAAAAAGATGGCGAAAAATAAAAGTGGACAGACCGAGGTAGCTAAGATTTAGCACTATAAGCTGTTTCGATCTGACATTTACAAGGAAGCATGAATACATGCAGGGAGCTGTTTTACGCGCTGTTTAGAGGAGTTGAGGCTAGGCAGATTCTACCTAGATATTTTTGAATCAAGTGCACAAAATTGCTCCCAGCCTCACCTCGTTTCGCCTTGCTTCATCTCTACTCCCGTGCAATTTGGGACCATCGCCCTAATGAATCCCTAATGGATCCTATGGTCAGTAAAAGCTTCCGAAATTTCATTTTGTAACTTGTTTAATTCAAGCATCAACCTGACCGCAGCTCACAGGCCAGAAGTCGTAGCAGGAACCATTCTGAAATCTTGTTTTCAGTTTCCCAACTTTGCAGAAGGTTTAACTTTTTGACTTCCACATGCCCAGACTTGTATCTGGTGAAGCACATATACATGTTTTAATTTACGGTAATATGCTTTACAATTTGCACAGATACTACATGAGTTATAAAATAACTGGCCAACGCACGGGCTGCCCGTGCGAAGATGCGTTTTTTGCATGGTTCCCCGCAGTTTCTGTTGCACGAGCTGCCCGTGCGAAGATGCGTTTTTTGCATGGTTCCCCGCAGTTTTTGTTGCTACCGGCACCGGTTCTCGGCAAATGCTTCTAGCTGGACAGATTAAGATTGGCCACCAGAGCTGTCAGAAAACATCCCCTTTAAAATTCCAACTTTCTAGCTTCCCTGGCACCTGAGTTAGCAACTTACTGGAACAAAATTTTCACGGGCCCGTGTATATTTACCAAGAATACTCTGAGAGCTGGGTTCGAGCTGAATGAAACTTAGGTGGACGGGGTATATCCTCTTAAAACTACATTCCTTTAGCTTCTCAGAGCCAATGAAACTTAGGTGGACGGGGTATATCCTCTTAAAATTGCATTCCTTTAGTTTCTCAGGTACTTGAGTTATCATTTACAAGAAGAAAAATTTTTGCGGGCTCGTATGTGGGTACTACGATTACCCGGGGGCTGGGTTTTTTACCCACTTGGGCGGGGACCATTCCCCCAAGATTTCAGCCTTCTAGCTTCTTAGATCCCCGAGTTACGAATTTGCGCGGGAAAAATTTTGGGGGGGCCCGTACGCGGGTACCACGCATACCCG